GAGGGCACATTCAATTCAAATATTTATTAGGCACTTTATTTTTATTTATTTATTTATTTATTTGTGGCTGGCCAGTATGGAAAACCGAACCCTTGACCTTGGTGTTACAAGGCCACGCTCTGAACAACTGATTATTAGGCACTTACATGCAAGGCAGTGTGACAGGCCCTGGGTAAGTGTATAAGTGAATAAAAGAGGTGACAGGCATATATACAATCTACTAAAAAACAAAGAAGGAATTAAGCGCTAGGTGGAAACAATAGCACCACTCTGTGCTATGGGAGAATAAAAGAGGGTCAGTTCTGATGATGGAGAATCAAGGGGGTGGCGACTAAGAAGATACTGAAGACTAAGGATGTTTGAGGAGAGGAGAATAAAAGAAAGGTATTTGGGTAGAGAACACTATACAAAGGGAGATGGAAGCATGAAAACAGATGACACATAGAAGAATGGTAAGGTGAATGCTACGGACAAGGCACAGGACGTGTAGAGGGATAAAATGAGTAGTTTTGGGGGTTTTTTTGACCGGTAAGGGATTGCAACCCCCGGCACAGTGTGGTCCACACCACACTCAGCCAGTGAGCGCACCAGCCATCCCTATATAGGATCCGAACCTGTGGCCTCGGTGCTACCAGAGCCATACTCTCCTGAGTGAGCCACGGGGCTGGCCTGGTAAAGTGAGTTTTTGAAGTTGGTTAGATCAGATTATGGAGTCTCAATGCCCTGGTTAGTAGTCTGAATTCTAATTAGGAAACATGGAGATTTTGCAAGCACATTAGGTAGCAACAAGGCTACCCATGCAGGCCCTCTGCCAGGCATCATACCCTTTTGCCCCATCATTTTCCCACCCACCACCCCCTTCCTCTGTTCTCAGTTCTCAGGCTCACGTTGGGCAGTGGGTGCCAGGCTTCCCTGGGGCTGGAATGAAGCATCCACACGGGCGCATATCCCAGAACTGAAGACAGAGCTGCCACAAGCATGAGACCAGAGAGGAGCACAGGCCTGGGGATGGGTGGGGGAAATAGTTACTTCTAGGCTTAGGAGGGCACCCTCAGAACATGCTTTCAGTCATAGAGAACACTCCTGAGAGTCTCTACCTTGCTTCTAGTTTTTAACTCCTTGACCCCTCCTCATAGACCAGTTCCCCTTAACACACTGCTCTTGTCTCTGCCACGAACCTTCAAATACCCTGCCACCACCCTTTCCTTAGCTCACCATGAATCCCCCATCACCATCTGTCTCTAGTAGAGACATCCCCAGGTGCATATTCATAGCAGGACGAGATGAATTTCCCAGTTGATAGTCACCTGGTTGAAGGAGGGTGGAAGAGATTGAGATCATGAGGTCACAGATGAGGTGCTTGAGTTAAGGGTGATTTTGGAAGAGAATGAAAAGGGATCAGAATCAAGTTGGGGACAAGGAGTATGCGGGTTATGGGGAGTGGAAATGTGAGGTATAAGAGAGGAAAGCTGCTAGGGTTTCAAGGTCAAGGGTTAGAAAGGGAAGGGTCAGGAATCTTCTTACCCAAGTGGCCCTTGGCACATGGGGCATTGCGGGGCCCCCCTACAGGGCAGCGATAAACGTCCCCCCTCCGGTCGCCTGAAGGCCCATCCCAGGGGGCGCCCACCAGCATCCTGGGAGGAGGATGTGAATATAAGCATAGGGCAAACATGTCCCTTGACATAAAGCAGAGAAAAAGTGCATGGCGGTGGCAAGTTTAGAGCCCCAGCTACCTTTAAAAGAACAGATCAGCTTAGACCCCCATCTATCTTGCCTCCCCTTTACAGCACTATTACGGTTCCGTTTTCCTCCTCACCATCGCTGTCCACCCCCTACATGTTGTAAGACACTGTATCCAAATTCAGCCTCTGGTGGCCCTGGGAATAGCCGTGGGTGATGCACATCCAAGTTAAAGGGGGAGCAGAGACCTAGGGAGCCAGGATCATAAGGTTAGCATGAAGGGCTCAGAGCCGATGAATGACTAGAAGCACAGCCAGAGAGAAGCCGTTAGAGAATGTCTTAATCTCAATCTATCTGCCTGCTCCTTACTCACAAGCTCTCCTGGCCTCTGTCAATGTCACGTACTCAGAGCCCCAAGCAAGAATAGTCCCCTTCCCATGTCTGGGTCCAGCTGTCTAATCTGTGGTTCTCTGGCCATGCTGATGCACAGCTGTGTTTCCATTCTCACCCCTGAAATCTCATTCACAGACATGTCTGGAAAGATTGTTACTCTTCTCCACATCATTCCTCCTACACATCCTCCTCCCCAAACTGTGAGGGTCAAAAGAGGGAGAGGGCCTTTCTGCTGTCCCAGAACAACCATATCTTCTAAGTTCTCCCAAAATCCAGGACCACAGAACAAGAGGAGGCTAAGGAGCACTGTGTGTCTGGGTCTCTCCTATCTCTTCTTGACTCCTAGTGTCATTGTCACACCCTCACTCTCTTTCTCCAATGTCTAGGTCCATGGTTGATTCTAGCCCTGGAAACCTCAGTGGTAATTAACTGGGTGGGGCTACCCGCCTTCCCACACACAGAGTTTGCCATCTATTCTTGCCAAGGGTCCCATTACCCCAAAGTTTCAACTCATCCACCCCCCCCAACTGCCCCCTGCCTACCTCCGTGGTTTCCTCGCCCTTCAGCCCACTCTCAAGGCACCCAGGCACATCCTAGCTGACTCTCCCTCTTTTGACCCCAATCCCTTTAAAATCAGAGCTGGTATTTTAGGAAACAAAGATTACAGGGCACCAGCAAGGGTAAATTCCAGGCCTCTTGTCCCTCCCATGGTTTTCCCCCTAACTGTGTCTTGCTCCTAACTTTCAAGCAACCCCCTCTCAGGCTACTCCCTCCCGCCACCACTACCAAAGGCTATAGCTCTATTCCAAACCATGCTCATTTTCAGAACGGTGTTTTGTTTGTGAGCCTTTTTGCATCCATTAAACTGGCAGGGCTGTATGACCAGGAACTGTAGCTCATCGATTAGATAAACCCAGAGTTCTGACCACATAGTTAGTCAGTTATGCCTCAGTTCCCAGGGACCACCAAGGGTAGGGAGAAGTAGCAGGGCGGGGGGGATAACAGAAATCAAACTAGCCACGTGGAAGATCACATCATGTTTCTTTTCTGTCTCCTCAGTGCTGCTGGGCTTAGGACAAGGTTTTAGATAATTAGACACAAATCTTATGCAAGGTCTTAAGCAGCTTCGGCCTCTGCCAGTCTCAATAATGAAGCAGTTATATGTGGGGACATTAACACACACACAAAATGTAGAATCAGTGTTAACTACCTACTCTAACTCCCAAAGGATTTTAACCTAATGGTCCCAATTCCAAACAATCCATATATCTTCCATTCCCACCAGAAACCAAGAACTTAACCTCCCTCACCTGTCAGGAACATCAGGGGCAAGAACAGGTGAGGGATGAGGAGGAACTCCATGCCTGGTCGTTGTCTGTCCTGTATGAGAAGTCCTCTGTGCCTCTGTCCCTCTCCTTTTCTGTTTTCTTTCCTTTCCCTCCCATCCTGCCCCCTCCCACTGGCTGCTAAAAATAAAGTTGGGAGGAGTGATGGTGGGGAACTGTGGGGAGCCCCAGACCAAGGAAAGGAAGACTGAATGATCTTAGTCTATTTCTCTGCCTTGGTGCTGCCCCCTGGAGGCCTCATCTCAATATCTAAACACAACGCAATTTTTGGCCATTTCTCTTTTTTTCTTCTTTTATTGTTGTCAGGTCAATAATACTTTCCTCAGATTTGGAATAGAGGTAGGAGTGGAAGATAGATTCTTTTTATTTCCTAACCATATTTATCTCCCCCTGGGATACGGAAAATGAAGACGCTAATAGCAGGGATATAATTTCTCTACCCAACCAAGGGAGTCCCTAACTGTGAAGACACAGCCCCAAAACCAAGCCTTACCAACACCACTACACTTAGTTATGTTCGTGGCTCTCAGCCTATGCTGCCTTGTGGAGTTAATAATTTTTGGAGAACTGTATCTATGAACTGGTATGGAGCCAGTACAATTGCTTTAGCATTAAACACACACACAACCTAACTCCTCAACTAGGCTATAACTTCTTAAGGTTGGGACCAAAGAGCTTCTTAGATTTTTTTTTTTTTTTGGGCAGCTGGCCTGCACGGAGATCTGAACCTTGACCTTGGTATTATAACACTGTGCTCTAACCAGGTGACCTAATTAGTCAGCCCCTGAGCTTCTTAGCTTTTTGTATGTCCACTACCTAGTATTTTTCCCGGCACACTGTAGATGCTCAATAAAAATCTGTGGGTGATGATGCTAGTGGCCAATCCCATGGAAAACCGAAACCATAGTGACAGGCATAGGGGCTTCAAATGACCAAAACATGAGGACCAGACCAAATGTTAATGAGCAAATCGATCTTTAATTTGCTGACCTGGAAGGCTTGCTTTCCATTGTGGGCACAGGCCACAGCTATTTACACAGAATCACTGTACAGTATTTACAGCAAGATGCTAGACACAGCATCATTCTATATAGGCAAAGAAAGGGTAAGAACAGGGTAGGGAACAAAGCTCTGAAATCAAAGTGTAAGCAGAAATCTGAACATATGAGTAGAGGGAAGGGTAACAGCAAAATCATGAGGGAGACTGGTGAGGTAGACATGAGGGAGGAGGAAGAAGCATCAAACAACCTGTGGGGCAGAGATATGAGGGAAGAGTCCATGCGGACATAAGGTATTAAAAATTATAATTTGGGGTCAGCCCGGTTGCGCACTGAAGAGTGCGCCGCTTGGGAGTGTGGGGGCAGAGATATGAGGGAAGAGTCCATGCGGACATAAGGTATTAAAAATTATAATTTGGGGCCAGCCCGGTTGCGCACTGAAGAGTGCGCCGCTTGGGAGTGTGGTGGCGGTGCTCCCGCCGAGGGTTTGGATCCCATGTGGAGACCGGTTCCCACTCACTGGCTGAGCGTGGTGCGGGCGCAACACCGAGGGTTGCGATCCCGTTGCCGGTCCCCGGTACGGGCGTGACACTGAGGGTTGTGATCCTGTTACCGGTTAGTAAAAAAGACAAAAAGGAAAAAAAAAATTATAATTTGGAGTCTGAAGGAGGAAAAATCTGCCACAAGTCATGTCTGTGAGAAAAAAGAAACGACACCGAGGGTTGTGATCCCGTTACCGGTTAGTAAAAAAGACAAAAAGGAAAAAAAAAAATTATAATTTGGAGTCTGAAGGAGGAAAAATCTGCCACAAGTCATGTCTGTGAGAAAAAAGAAGGCAGTTAGGATATTACAGACCAAACCTTATACTTCCCTTAACAAAAAGTAATTCTGCTGATTAAATTCCTGGACAGGGGACTGAGAAGGTGAAAAGAGAGCTGCATAGAGACAGAATCTTAAATAGACTTCAGAGAGACCAAGTAAAAAGAGCTAAGAGAGACACAGACAAGGAAAGAGGAAAAGAACACAAGCTCAGACAAATCTGGGTATCAAAATCATCCCATTGGTTCACAAGTCACCTTTCTTCACCTCATCTTCCTCAAAGCTCCTCCCTCAACCTCTAAATCTCTGGATTTTACCTTTCACCAAGAAGTACAATTAGAATAAGGCTGGTACATGGGGAACGATCTAAGATTCCATCTCACCAGTTCAGGTCCCCTCCTTATACTGTACCAGAATGTCAGGGCTTGAGTCGTAGCCAGGGACAGATTAGAGTGAGAATAGACAGGATAGAGGACACAAGGCCACAAAGCCCTACAATTCCAGGGCCACAGCGCCAGAGGCCTAGTTTGTCCAGTGGAATGAAGAGATCACAGGCATTTCTGACAACATCCAACAGAAGGGGAGGATGACCTCGAAGGACTCGAACCAGGAGCAGAACTTGGAGCCGAAGCTTCACAGCCAGTTGGGGTAGGCCTCCTCCTGGAGTCCCTGGTCCCCCAGGCCCTCCAGTTTCAATTCCTCCTGGGACTCCTCCTCCAGAACCCTTCAGTCGCCGGCTACAAGCTGAAGACTCTTGTTCCATCAACAGACGAATCTCGTAAGCATCACGACTCAAATTCATGATAAGGGAAAACAGATAGTACCTGAGATACACAGGGCAGAACAGTCAGTAAGGGCATGTATACCTACTAACATATCCAACATAACACTTTAACATTATTTTCTCTTAGTGCAAAAGGATTACAAATTAGAATACCAGAAGTGAATGCTATTATCCGATATTAGAAATGTCCTCCCTTGAGAATATTATGCTAAGTGAAATAAGACACAGAAAGACAAATACTGCATGATCTCACTTATATGTGGAATCTAAAATAATCTAACTCATAGAAGCACAGAATAGAATGGTGGTTGCCAGGAGCTGGAGGGTGAAAGAAAGTTTCTTTTTTTGTTTGTTTTTGTTTTGGCAGCTGGCCAATATGGGTCCAAACTCTTGGCCTTGGTGTTATTAGCATTATGCTCTAATCAAGTGATAGAAAGTTTCAGTTATGTAAGATGAATAAGGTCTGGAGATCTAATGTACAGCATGGTAACTATCATTACCAATACTGTACTGTATACTTGAAATTTGCTGAGAGAGTAGATCTTCAGTATTTTCACCATAAAAAAAAGGTAACTATGTGAGGTGATGGATATGTTAACTAGCTTTATTGTGGTGATCATTTCACATGTGCATATAAATCATCAAGCCATACACCTTAAGTATATACAATTTCTATTTGTCGATTATACCACAGTAAAAATGGGGGGGAAAAAAGTCCTTCCACCTTTCTGAAACTAATATGTGTTTATATATACCTTAAGATCATGGCTTAAAATTCATAAGCATCATGAATCTTCCAAAATCAACCTCAAATTTCACTTTTCCACTTGGCAACCCCTTAGTACATACACACATTCAACTTGCCCAATAATAATGCAAACTTATTTATTTTTATTTTTATTTTTTTTAAAAGATGACCGGGGGATCTCAACCCTTGGCTTGGTGTTGTCAGCACCACGCTCACCCAGTGAGCTAACCAGCCATCCCTATATAGGATCCGAACCTGCGGCCTTGGTGTTATCAGCACCGCACTCTACCGAGTGAGCCACGGGTCAGCCCAATGCAAACTTATTTTGAAAGAACAAGTTTCAGTGAACCCGCGGCCTTGGTGTTATCAGCACCGCACTCTACCGAGTGAGCCACGGGTCGGCCCAATGCAAACTTATTTTGAAAGAACAAGTTTCAGTTGTTTGAGAGACTCAGACACATTATAATCATCTAAATCCAATCCTTCTTAAGAAACAAAACAAGGGGCTGTCCTGTTAGTTCAGTTGGTTAGAGCATAGCCTTATAACACTGAGGTCGTGGGTTCAGATCCCCGTACCAGCCAGCCACAAAAAACAAAAACAAAAAAACAAAACTGAGGCCCAGAGGAATTAAGTAACTGCCAAATGTGTTAGATTACAAATTCCTTAAGTAAAAAACCTATGTCTTCTACTTTAAATCCATTCTGACAATGGTGATCTGTACTCAATAGATTGTTCTACCTCCAAAATATATCCTGAATCCAATCACATCTCTCTATTACATTCCACCACCACAGTTAAGCCACTATCATCTCTTGCCTAGCCTACTGCTTTAGTCTTTTTTTTAAAAAGATGACCGGTAAGGGGATCTCAACCCTTGACTTGGTGTTGTCAGCACCACGCTCACCCAGTGAGCAACCAGCCATCCCTATATGGGATCTGAACCCGTGGCCTTGGTGTTATCAGCACCACACTCTCCCGAGTGAGCCACGGGCCGGCCCCTGCTTTAGTCTTTTAACTGGTCTTTCTACGGCCATTCTTGCCCCCACCCCCAACAATTTAATTTCATATAGTAGCTGGCATAAACATAAACCACATCATTACTCCCCTACTTAAAATTCTCTATGGTTTCTTTCCTATCACATTTAGAATAAAATCTAGATAATTTAGGCTTACAGACTCAACAGCATCTGGCACCTGCCTCTCTAATTTTATCTTGTACCATTCTTTCCCTCAATCATTATCTTCCAACCATGTTAGTTTCTTTCTATACTGTATTTTGATCCTATCAAACTTGTTCCTGCCTTAGAACCTATGTACTACCTAGTCCCTCGACCTGGAATATTTTCCCTCCAAAATCTTCACATGGCCGGCTCTTCCCTGCACTTCAGGTCTAAGCTTAAATATCACCTCTTCAGAGAGGCCTTCCCCAACCCCCCAATCTAAAGCAGTGAGTCAATTTCTTTCTGCCACATAACCCTCCTTTAATTTCCTGCATAGCACTTATCACTATAAGTTTTTCTTATTTATTGTTTACTTATGTTTGTCTCCTCCCATTACAATGTCAGTTCCATAAAAGCAGAGACGCTGTTTGTCTTTAACCACTGTATCCCTGTATCTAGACCACTGTCTGGCACATTCTAAGAGCTCAATAAATATTTGTTGGATGAAATGAATAAATATAGGATACAGACTCTTCTAGGGAGTTGCTTTTCCATACCACTCCAGCCATGCTTCTGTCTCTACTCCTCATACATCATAAACCAAGTTATAGTTGTAAATCACTGAGAAAGATGAAGAGAAAAACAAGGGAGAAATGGAGATGGAAAAATGCTAATAAAAAAAGAACAAGATAATCATAGGGAAACAAAAAACAAATACAGATGATATGTATATACAGAATTTTACTCCCAAATAATATTTCTCTCCACCTTCATTGTCAGCCACAATAAAAAAAGAACAAGATAATCATAGGGAAACAAAAAACAAATACAGATGATATGTATATAGAGAATTTTACTCCCAAATAATATTTCTCTCCACCTTCATTGTCAGCCACCTCCTTAGTCCAAGCCAACATTATCTCTTGCCCATATTAGGCAATCCATCCTTTCCCGCCCCACTGCAATCCATTTTCCACATCGCAGCAAGAGAGATGTTCTTTAAACACAGTTTGAATCACATCACATCCCTGTTTAGAACCCTTCAATAATGTCCCATTGTATTTAGGAAAAAATTGAAACAGAACAAATAAAACCTTTTTAACACTGCCTAAAACACCCTGTATGAACAATCTGGCCCCTACCTTTCTCTCAAATTTGAACTTAGGCCTTTTATTCAATACTGTCCATCATGCTTTCTTTCTATTTCTCCAATTCCCTGAAGTCTTTGTTGGTTCAAAGCCTTAAAATGTGCTATTTTCTGTTTGGAAAGGTCTTTTCTGTTACTGTTTGCTTTGTCTAATTCTTACTCAGGCTTCAGGTGTGAACTAAAATATTACTTTCCCCAAGAGTTCTTCACTTACCTTTCAGTCTAAATTAGCTCCCCTGGTTATATTCTTTCATGATACCCTGTACTTTCTACAAATATATCTGAGTGGCTATTTGTTTTAATATCTGACTTCTCTGCTGGACTGGAAGCTTCATGGGAGGAGGCAACATATCTGTTTGGCTCTGTGCATTATTCCCTGGCCCACAGTAAGCACCTACATATTTTTGGAATGAATGAATGAGCAGGTAATGAGTGCAGCATAACCTCTGGTACAGACAGAAGCAGATTTAAAGCAATATATTATCTTATCTTGCCCAATTTTAGTCATTCATCATGAAAGAGCATCTGTCATCCATCTGTCCCCATTCATTATTCTCTGATAGTTTAAGATCTAAATGAAGATTAGAAGCCCAGCGATTGATTAAGATGGATATACTCTGGGAAGATCCTGAGAGAAGATCTTTCTCTCATGAAAGGCAACCTATGCAATATGTTGCTACAAATGCTCTTGTAGGATAAAAGGATATCAAACCTGAATGAACGCTGGACCCACTTCTCCTGATCCACACGGGGAGCTAGTCCAGACTTTCCAGCCCACAGGACATTGTCACAGGCGAAGTATAAGGCTCGATTGAGGTGACTAACAGTGATGCAGAATCTCAGGACAACATCTGATAGGTGCACAGTTCTTTTGGCTGACTCAAGGGCATCTGCTGAGTTACCCAGGCGTAGAACTTGTGGAGATTAGCAAGACAAGGCAAGGATTTGGAAGTAGAAAGGCAGCCAGAGAGCAACACACAGAACAAGAGAGAAAGCAAGAGAGTGAAAGTCAAGCAAGTGATAGTAACAAACGATAAAAAAAAAAAGAGCAGAAACAGTTCATTCTTTTTCACTTCAAATTTTAATTAATTTTTGTCCCAGTTTAGTTTTTTCAAACTTGTCCCATTTTCTCCCATCCTCAATAACTTCCTTACCCCTGCTCTTATTCCAGTTGGAGGCATGCAGAATATAAGTGCAGACCCAAATGAGGGAGAAGAACTAGAAGAGCAGGTAAAAACAGGAAGGAGGGATTAAAGGAAAATAGCTGGGGATGGAAGGATGGGGGTGATAAAAAGAAAGGCACAGTTACTTACGCTTTCTCCCAAGGCTCAGATGACCTTCCAGTTGTCGAATCTGTTTCTGTAACTCAGGACTGGCCCCATGTCTCTGCAGTGCATAGCCAAGAAGGGAGCACGCATACTGGGCAGCCCTGGAGGAGAGGACAGGCAAGATAAGGTTGCGATCTCCCTAACCTCCTCCTCAAAAACGTCCTCCAAAAGGCAAGGATGGACTTCCTCTTTTCCCAGATTGAGACCATTCCCTTTCCTTCACTTCTTGCCCATATCTCACCGTTTCTCCTGCAGGATAAAAAGGAGCCTAAAAGGGGGTGGAGAGCCCTATTCAGAGTTGAGAAAATATGAGATTTGACAATGATGAGGCCTGAAGGGGCCAGTGAAAGCAGCAGGGGTCCATCACAAGCACATCAGTGTGACCATGTGCAAAATACAGTATATGAGGGAGAGAGGAATAGTTGGGTGGCAGATTATTCCTCAGAGTAGGTGAACCAGGAGATTTCAAGGCCCTCGAGCTGAATCAAGACCAAAAGATAGAGCGGAGACAGAGCAGTTCCCGGGTGACATCAGGGTGAGGGGACACGGAAACTGGGAGCGCCTCCCCAGTTCTGGGGACAGAGACTGGGTCCTGTCCACCACTGGGCGAACTCTCCTCATTCCACCACCGCCCAGTGAGGAAACTGTTGGTCTTATGTGGACACGGCAACCCTGAGCGGCCTCACCCGTGGCCCACTCGTGCCTCAGTTTCCTCAGCTTTCCCGTGAGTAGAGAAAAATCATCTCACTGCTGGCTCAAATCTGCTCCTCGCGGTCCGTCCGGGCCCCCGTAGCCGGAGTTGACCCTTTTTGACCCCCGTAGCCTGAACTGACCTCGCCTCACGAGAGTCTTCCTTTGCCCGCCCGTCCCCCCACTCCTATTCGGGCCGCACCTACACAGCCGCTCCCGGGCCTGGCTCTGAGCACTGAAGCGGACCCAGGCGTCCATGACAGCGGCAGCCCCAGCTCCGCTGCCCGGTTCCAGCCCCACTTCCCGCCCCTAGCCACGCCTCCTGATCGACCCAACGGTGCCTCGCGAGGGACAAACATTATCAGAAGAGAAAGTGAATGGAGACGGCTCTTGAAACAGAATTTCAGGGCGCGAAGTGCTTGTCTCAGGGCCTCCACCTGCGTACTACTGTGACAGTGTTTCCGTCAGAGTATCCCCTTATCAGACGATCTCTATTCCCTAAGCACGCCCCCAGCGGGACATTCTTCTTTAAATATTCAGGCCAAGGGCGGGGCCTGCAGGGGTGGGGGCGGAGCAAGAAAGCGCTGCAGTGATATCCACGCCGTAGAGGATGGGATAGGGGTCCTCGCCGGGTGCGCCCAGCGATAACACCCCTAACACACACATGCATGCACGCTCCAGCCGAAACCAGGGGCCTAAGGGCTAAGGAAGTCTAAGGCAGTAGAATCCCGAAGCCCAGACTAGTCTGTCCAAGGGAAAAAGAGCAGGATTAGTCCCAGATCTCCATTCCCTGCAAGACCCTGACAATTGGACAGATGACCTCTTCCAAAATGGAGTCTCCAGAGACAGAGGCTTTAGTGGACGAAATTCGCAGTAACCAGCTCCAGATCCTGAAAAGGAAGGCGAAGGATCGGTCACCGAAGCTAACCGCTTCATACCCACACTTCCTCCTCACCCTTCCCTTCCAATCCACCATGTCTTTAGGCAATAGCACCCTTTGGGGGTCAGCAGCGGGAGAGGAGGTCTGAGCGGGGTCAGGAGTGGAGGTAGAAGACTCGGAGCTGCATACCTTTTTAGCTGCAGCCAAGGTCCTAGTGGGAGTGACCACTGTGCTGTTTGTTTCTTCAGCTGGAGGGAACCTGGCCGTGCTGTGGTCAGTGACACGGCCACAACCCAGCCAGCTCCGTCCCCCTCTAGTCCGGCGACTTTTCGCCCATTTAGCAGCTGCTGACTTACTGGTCACTTTTGTGGTTATCCCCCTAGATGCCACCTAGAATATCACTGTTCAATGGTTGGCCGGGGAAATTGCATGTCGGACACTGATGTTCCTCAAACTAATGGCCATGTATGCTGCTGCTTTCCTGCCTGTGGTCCTTGGGCTCGATCGCCAGGCAGCAGTACTCAATCCCCTTGAACCACGCTCAGGTGGAAGGAAACTACTGGGGGCGGCCTGGGGACTTCGTTTCCTGCTTGCTTTGCCTCAGATGAGTGACTTGTTGGTATTCAGGGATGGGCTGGTCAGGGATTTGGGTACACAGCATAAACTTTGGGAGTCAAAAGGTGTGCTTGGTCACCATCATCCATTCCCAGGGAAGGAGCCTCTGATATCTCTTCTGCAAGTTAAGATCATTTGCATGTTAACTTACATCTGTTAAGAGCCTATCTTTTAAAAGCAGTACCCTATAACTGCCTCTTCCTTCAAATTTCCTTCACTATGCTTGGCTTTCACTTCTTTGCATCCTCTCAGTCCCCCCTCCTTCAGGAGACTGGTGCAGAAAAACTCTAGGGCAAGGACACTTCTTTGCATCCTCTCAGTCCCCCCTCCTTCAGGAGACTGGTGCAGAAAAACTCTAGGGAGGGGGGGAAGACATATACAGGGGTAAAGAGTGAAGTCAGGTTCTTTGGGTAAAACTTTTGTTACACTCACTCATATATTCAAAAAATAATGTGCACCATGTCCAGATACAGTCAAATACTAAGGGATAGACCAAGAAAGTCCTGCCTTCAAGAAACGTATACTTGGTAGAGCATGGTGCTGATAACACCAAGGCCAAGGGTTTGGATCCTTGTACAGGCCAGCTGCCAAAAAAAAAAAAAAAAAAAAAAAATGTATACAATAGTGCAGGAGACAAACAAATTAGGCAGTGTCCAGTCAAGTGTTATGCTAAAGGTAAGGACTTAAAAGAACAATGAGGGGTGTCTGACCCACTCTTGCAGTCTGGGAAAGCTTTCTAGAGGTATTAAAATTTGATTCTTGAAAGACAGGTGTTAGACATGTTAAAACAGGAGAAATACTGGGGAGAACTAAGGGTGATTGCTGCTAAAGTTGAGGACTAGAAAATAGTGAGTAATGAGCCAGTAGGGGAAGGAAGGGCCAGATCATAAATATTTGTACTTTATCCTGAGGGCAGTGGAGAGACACTAAAGTATTCTGGCTTTATTGTGGAATGAGTGTTAAAACTGGAAACAAGGGAGCATCTGAACTTGAGTACCAGGTTAATCAAATCTCAGTAATGAAAAGGAGCTAGAAAGCTAGGGGAAAAAAGCTAAATATAAAGCAGTTACTTCAAAACAAAAACCACCATGACCATTATTGTTGGGCAGCGGGGAGCAAGACAGAGAAGCATCTTTGAAGCTATAGGATTAGAATTATGTCTGGAAGGAAGTCAACAGAGTCTATGATTTTAGTCTCTGGAATAATGCATTATAGTCAGGTAAGATTTGATCCTTAAATCCTCAAACATTAGAAATTTTATAAAAAGGTGGTCTGACTATAGTTCTAAGGACAAAAAAAGACCATTGCTTCCAACAATATGTTGCTAACAGGACCTCCACCATCCCAAGCATTAAAAAGAAACCTAGGGCTGGTTGGTTAGCTCAGTTGGTTAGAGCATGATGTTGTAGCACCAAGGTCAAGGGTTCTGATCCCTGACTGGCCAGCTGCTAAAAAAATAAAAAAAATAAAAAAGACTATTGCCACAATGCAATAGGAATTACAGTTGGACTTGTTTATATGAAGCAAATTTTAGATGTGGACTGGAATTAGAAGACTGTTTTTGTTGCATTGTTTTTGTTACTCTGCTTTTTTTCTGAGTCTAGGCTCTACCACTAACTAGTTAATTAAATGACTTTAGCTAAGTCACTTGAAATCTGTGGGCCACAAGATGGTGGAATAGGAGATGAATTTCATGCTTTCTTACAACCCAACAATCTGACAATAATTGCAACCTCTATTTGTTTCTATAGAAAACTAGTTGTGAGATGTGTGACACATGCAAAAGGTGGTATATTTTTGGTTCCAAATTAGTATCCTTTTGGATAAGTTCTGCATTGCCCATATGCTGTATTTAAAATATTAGTGTTAATTAAAAAATGGTTTTATAGTGTGATATTAGTGTATCAGGAGTATTAGGGTAGTTAAAAATTACTTGTTTTTATGGGCTCAAGTTTCCAAGTTATCAGTAGTTGATAGGAAGGTTTCTACTATAGGTAGTAAACTGAATAAAAAATAGAGGAGAAAGGAGTGGTAGAAGGCTATGGACCAAACTGTAAGTCGAGGAGCTCTATATTTATACTCCTTCTCACAATTCTCATGTACTTCTAGGCATAGCGCCAGAAACAAACAAACAAAAAACAAAACAAAAAGCCCCACCCAGAAATATATGGATGCAAGACAGAGGGATGAAAGACCACTCCCCATGTAGCCCAGAACAGCCTAATCATAACTCTATGCAGTTCATAAAATTCTATGTCTTTGGCTGATACTATTCACCTTGCCTAAAATTAAAGTCCTCCATGCTTGCTGAAATCACTTTCCTAAATGCTTTATAGCTAGGAATCTGATACCTATTGATCTTACCTTTTATCAAACTAATACTGACTTAGTCTATGTTACTGGAATCAAGGCACTCTAACCCTGCAGCTCGAAAATGAAAAGTACACTTTACTGATTAAATTTAAAAACCAGCAACTTACCAAAAAGGGGGAAGGGCAACCAAGAGCATTTGGAAAATATTAAATTTTATTATTTAACAATTGTTTTACCATTATAGTAATTGTACATAAGCCTACTAAAGGTCACTTCAGAGTGGCTGTAAAATGGCCTGAAACTTTAGCAGCACCCATTTTATACAAGATTTCTTTTTCAACAGAATTTATCACAGACAAACCAGGAAAATCATTTCAGCTAAAAATGTGGGTGAGGGGGTAGAAATAGCATCCTTTTATAAAGTGCGATACTAGAACAGTACTTAAGAAGGCAGGATTCTTTCAAGTTCCAAGATTTAACAAACTTAATGTTCAGTGCCATATTTAAGCATAAGGGGAAGATTGACACTTTCAAGATGCATTTCTAACCTTTTTTAAATGGCACCATGAATGAACCTTTAGCCAACACTGCACTGTTCCACATGGAATTATGGATGAATTGGGAGAAGATAGAATTCGGTGGGTAGGTTGGGGGAACCATTTCTAATAGTCCTAAATTCCACTTCAGCTGTTCCTGTTCCATACTGTCCAACTACCTGGCCCAGTCCCCTTCACTCAGTGTGTCACCAAAGGCAGCTTCAAGGCTCGATGGCAAGAAACCACCTATAACCTCTTCACCTTCTGCTGCCTTTTTTGCTGCCGCTGACTGCCATGGCCATCTGCTACAGCCGCATTGTCCTCAGTGTGTCCAGTCCCCAGACAAGGAAGGGGAGCCATGGTGAGACTCCAAATCCCAGTCCTTAATCCTTATCCCCAGAACTGTTGCTTCTAGCATCATTTAATTACCTACCTACCTGGTAGTTATCTGTCAATCACTAAATCAAAGTTAAGATACTAACCATACCTCTAGCTCCTGATGCTAGAAATCATTTTATTGAATGCCTTCAATTCTAAACAGCCTCTAGCTAAATAGAGTTACCTGGGCAAGGACTAGTTAGAAAGGTGATCAATATTCTCCTTTATTCTTGAACACCATCAAGTCTTAATGTAGATTTGGTGGCTTCATATAACACAGCATCTCAATCAAAACATTTTCTCGGGCTGGCTCATGGCTCACTTGGGAGAGTGTAGTGCTGATAACATCCAGGCCACAGGTTCGGATCCCTATATAGGGATGGCAGGTTAGCTCACTTGGGAGAATGTGGTGCTGACAACACCAAATCAAGGGTTAAGATCCCCTTACCAGTCGTCTTTCATTAAAAAAAAAATTTTTTCCTCCAATGTTTGTCATAATCCCTGGGGGGAGGGGAATTATATAGTCCCAGGCTGGGAAGAGGAAGAGGGTTTGCAA